TTGGCGGATTTGTCTCAGCCGCTTAGCGTCACGCTCGTCGCCAGTCTTGCCAAATGCAACTGCTAGAAATGCAGCAACTTGCACAGTCTTTCCGAGACCCATGTCATCTCCCAGAATACCGCCTTCTTGGTAGACAAATTTCCGGTGCAGGAATGAGACGCCAGCGACTTGGTAATCTCGAAGATACTGTGCAATCGACGCTGGGATGAGACCTGCTGATTGGGGCAACTCAATATCTTTGTACGGTCGTGATGGTTTTATGCCACTGCTTTCACTGAACTTGGGTCGCTCTTCCAGCTCCCTGAGTCTTCTCGTTTCTTCGAAGTGAATCCCCGAATAATCAGGAGGCACCATAAGAGCATTATCGTGGTGAAGTTTCCTCTTAGTGTCAAACTTGCGCCGTCGCTCGATCAGATAATCAGGTAAACCTGCGAGCTCGTAATCGTCTTTGGGTGCTTCAGACTCTCCATGTACATCATCCCCTTTCTTTTTGCGAGTTGGCTTTCGCCCGCCACGACGCTTCTTGGGCTTTACTGGTAGATCTTCTTCGTCTCCAGTCCATTCCACCTTCTCCTCAATGTCAGGGTCAGGATCGTGTTTTCTTTTTCCTGCGGTTTTTGTAAAGGATGAGGCGTTACCCTCAGACTCCGAGGCCGTGCCTTCATCATCAGGTATTTCTATTACATCTGGCGGTGCAGGAGGCATAACGAAGAGTGAGGTCGATGGTGAAGTACACGGTATGATGAACGCGTGGCGACGCGTTGTAGCGTCATAAGGAGCGAAAGCACGTGACTGTATTTAAGCATGTTTGCATTATGTCATGCTTAAGATAACCTCGATTGCCAAACCGCACTCACGCTCTCAACACACAGCTTAGAGTTGCGTATGATGGGATCAATCTCAATCGCAAAGCTAAATACGCGTACTCGCCATTCTAATTCTTGTCTTTTTGCGGACAGTCAAAAATGCCCAAGCTGAAATGTTAGCTCCACCCTTGTTTCTATTTGGATCCATTGAACGAACGCACAGCCACAGCGATCGCCCTTGATGAACCCGCTCGACAATGCCAAATGATCCTGAGTCGGTAATCGTGAGTTTAGTGATCCTTTTCCTTTTCTTTCTGGGACTTGACGACGGGGCTGCAGAATTCCAATGTTACCAAAGTTCCAATATCAATGTAAGACAAGGCAAACACTACCAAACATAACCAAATTTGTACTTTGGTGCAACTGTTTTCATCTAATCAGTAGTTTGAGTTTGATGTGTCTTAAAAGTGTCCGCCTATGGATAGCGCATTGTCCGTCGAGAACAGGGGACCCATGTCACACACATCTGCCGATGCAAGTCTGTACAATGGGACGAAGAGCAATCACTTGTTCACTTCAGCTTCAGCTTAAGCTTCATGTCGCGGAGAAAGTGTCGAGGTAACAATAGCATTGACGTGTTAAGGAATTGTTGGATTGACGGGTATCGAATTAATTACTAAAAAGCCCAATGCATCTTTGCGTTGAGAGCCAATCCAACATGCGCCTCCATCATGTCGTGACTAAACAAAGGAAAACAAGAAACTTGAATCGCGCCCATGCCAGTCGTAAAATCAGCATCCAGCGCCAAGCGCGGAACACCGGCGTAAGGTATCAAAGCGAGGAAAACAATCTGCACAGCTCGTCACAGCGTCGTCGGCATACAGCATGCACCCGGATTGCTCGGCAGTCATTGGTGTCATGGCCTCGGCCGTCAGACAAGGTGTCGCATGGATAATGACAACCGATGGCTGGCCAGTCTTGGACAATTAGAAAGCGGGGCAGCCATCATTGAAGCGATCCGAGAAGCGCCGCAGAGCTGAGGAGCGAGATGCGAAGAGGCTTAGTACTTCAGAATGATGTACAGAGCGTGGATGATACCGGGGATGTAACCTGAAGCGGAGTGTTAGTAAACTGCTGAGCAATGTGCGAAGGGACGGTCAAGGGATGTTGGGTAAGCCCGAACCCGCGGAGGGGTCGGATGCGGCTGGATGACGGAGGTTGGGATGAGGAGAGACAAGAGGAACGTACCCAAGATGGTAAGGAGGATGTTGATGAAGAAGTCGGCACCGCAGCCACGCTCGAGGAAGACACCCACGGGAGGGAGGATGATGGCAAGGAGGATCTTGCAGATATCGCTGTTAAGAAAAGTGTTAATAGGTATGATCTTGGTGATTTTTCAATCAATCACAACAACTCGAGTGTCGCTTCCTGAGCTACCGGCGGTCGTCATGTTGCGACAGCCCTAACAGCGGATCGCTCGGGATGACGTCGCGAAGTCGAGTGTGGTTGAAGATGTCGAGCTGAGCTTACCTAGCAGTGAAAGGCATGTTGTCGGTTGTGAAGGCGAGGTATTACTCGAAAGTGTTGTATAGGTAGTAGGTAGTGTAGTGGTTGAGAGTGAGAAGATTGGTTAGCTTCGTTAGACAGAGTTTGTAGGAGATGTTGGAAACAGAATCTTAGTTGGGAGGGAGATGGTTTGTCTTTTATACAAAGCTCCGTCACAAACGGGCGGGCCAAGGACGGGCATGGCATCACATCACTCATTACGGATACACACCCATTCAACCTTAGCAGATAACCACTGCCAAACCAATTTCGTTCCGTAGCTTCCAACTTTCCCTGTCCAAGTAACATCAATCGTCCGCACAACCTCAACCCGCACCTTTTCTTTCTGGGCACTGCGTCATCGACTGACTAGGATGAGGCAAGCCACAGGGACGACGAAGAGGAACAGAGCGTGGGCCAAGCAAAATGTGCCCTGCTTTCTCTTTCTTTCCGCCTGACCTTGTAGGCTTGTACTTGGGTACATGCTTACAAGATTATTAGCAGTCGGGTGAGCCCGTCAGGAAAGAAAAAAACAACCGGTTACCTCCCAAACACCACCACCAAATGCTACGCTGGACTGTATTATAGCATCTAAACTGAGAAAAAGAAATCAAGTATCTTGATAATTCTATAATTTCGTATTTCTTGACAAATAAATTCTGTATCAATCTCTACCAGGACGTGCTTGATATGCTACAGTGAGCAATGGTATAAGTGAGCTCGCTTTTCTTTCCATCAGCCCCGGCCAACTTGTCACGGAACTGACAAGGTTTCTCGGGCTACGTCATGAGGCGAATGCCGCAGTGTGGCTGGGGCGAGCCTCAATCAATCGCCAATTGGACTTGATCTTAGCGAAAGTGATTGACGATGTGAAAGGATTCGTTAATCGCTGTGGCTGAGTTATCGCAATCCTTCATTCTCGATGCCAAATTCAACCTCAAATCTCGATATAGATCTGTGTATCATGTGCTGTGGCCACTCTGAGCCTCTCTGATATCGTAACTGGCGGTTCATGGTTCGAGAATAGTTGTTGCTGTTATGCAGTGTGCCTGACAAGCAAGATTACCTGACACCCAATTGTCGTAATCAGCACGTTACTGGGCGACTACCACTAAAAGATGCCGAGTCTACCGACTCCCAAGCCCTTACAACAGGGTCAATTAAAAAATGCCCTGCCTGAAAGGAAAACATGATTGTTGCTAAAATTTTCTTTGGTCATGCATGCTCTGGGAATAAGCGCCCGAGCTGGCCTGCAGGTTCTATATTAACCTGATTTTGACGTGGCTTGTCCTGGTCTCCGCTGGCTCAGCTTGGCCCTTGGCTGGTTAATCTCATGTTTCAGAAGATTCGAGCGCACGCGTCAGTGCCAAGCATGAACTGAAGTTCCAAGCCCTCTATCACGGCCTCACCGGCACTTGCTAGGTGGAGGGCCAAGAGACGACGAGTCGCCAGCCCCATTTCGACAAGTCTGGCCCAAGCCTGTAATCTCTCTTCCGTTGCCGTCTGTTCAAGAAAAGCGTCACGATAAGCATGAGTCCGTCCCAAAGTCTAACTTTGGGTTATGATCTCAGAAGATGCTACGATGATATCAGCGTTAACACATCAATAATCCGGGGTTGTAGAGTTTGGCCCCAGCTGTGCCGAACATGCAGGGTTGTGGAATACGGTTCGCCCAATGGCGATCAGTCCTAGAGCATTTTCGCTGGCAAACGCAAGCCGAACATCACCGTTCTCTCTCTATCCAATGGTTTCAGTCAATGTAGTTAACCTATGTAGTCAAAGTGTCAGAACAGCGTTTGTCAAACTACCTAGGTATTGAACTCAGTACGGGTATTGCAAATTCATCAGTCTTGAGACAATGCCATCCTCTCATAGGTATGTCAAGTAACTTTCCAGCTATTAGTGCTTGTTCCACCAGTAACCTCTGAACACGACCTTTTGAAAGGCCATCGGCAAATCAACATGATGACTTGACATACTTCCAATCATGTATACACCAATTACTCAAACGACTGCCAAGGGCCAGCTGATTTGAAGATATCGAGGGAAAACTATCACTTACTTACGTATGCTGAGACTTTATCTGGTAGTGTCAACTCGATCGATTCCAACGTAGTGCCAAGCATACGGGAGGCTATCTGTGTACCTTATATAGTAGTTAGATGAGAAACCATAAATAATACCTTATTATTAATCAGCGATCTAGCATAATTACAACCCGATGATACCAGTGTTCACCATCTAGATTCTGCAGTATGCGGAGGATATGGAAGACCTTGAACTCAAACAGGGTACAGGGTATTTCACCTGCACTACCTCATATCATCCCCGGACGATATGATGAACACTCCGTATGTACTCTTGAAGTAGAGCAATGGAGGAAGACACATTCGACCAATCGCACAGCATACATGCGTAATTCTACCATGGCTATGAATTCGTCTCTGATCAGTGGAGCAGCGGCAAGCCAATGCAGTATTCATTATTATGTATTCTTCGCTATGATAGTGGGCGATATCATTATGTCAAACTTTGTGCCATGGCACATGACAATGTACCCAAAGCCATAAATATCTCTGTAAATCCCGGCCCACCTGTCAAACGGGCATCTTAAGAATATGGCTATTGTTCTTATCATGAACCAGTAGCTTATTCCTCCTTGATTTCAGGAGTGACTTCCCAGCGCTTTCCAAAGAAAACGGTTCCCAAGATCTGAGATCCAACGATATATCCAATGTAAGCACCGACAACAATGGTGACGGGCCACTTCTGCCACTCGCGATCCCAGTCGAGAGGAATGGGAACAGCTCCAAGCCAAGCCCCAACCACTGTTCCAATAAAGCCGCCAAATGTCTGGTCAAAAGGAGCTGAAACACCCACCACAGCCTGGAGAGGCACGGGGTCGGAACCACGAACGTAGAAGACAGGATAAATCGCGAGGACGGCGATATGTGCACAGCACAAGAATGTATGAGGAACGTGTGTCAGGAATGGCGCGCCGAAGAGGACAAGGAGGAGATGAAGAACCGGCGTCAGGATTAGAGCTAGGAGCAATGAGATAACGGCGGTCTATACCATTGGCATTAGCTTGGTAGCTTCCACACACAATAAATTCACTTACAGGAATAGCCTTTGCCTCCCGTCCATCCGACTTCTTCTTCTCACCAGGACGAGGCCTCTTCGAAGAGCCCGAGGATCCCGCTGGTGGAAGACTCAGTATAAGATAGACAGCCTGAATGGCAGCAACAACCGGAAGACCAGTCTGAAGAGTTGAAACGGGATCAGCCACCAGGGCATCGAAGCGCCAGTAGAACAGGCCAGCGAGCAACAGCTGATGAGCGACTGATGCGGGCAAAGCTGCAGGAGAATTGACGAGCGGAATCGCGGGCACGGCGGCCTTGGGCGCGGGTTGTTGGGCGGCGGTCCCGCTCTTGACAAGTGTTGTCGACATGGTGACGGGGTCGACAAGTGGCATTGGCGAGATTTGTAAAAGGAGTGTGTATTGAGCAATTGCTCGAAGCTTGTCTCGTCGCGATCGCCAACAAGGTGGTTTAGCTTGAGGTAGCTTCAGTTGACAGCTGTAGCTGGATACCAAATCACGTTTTAGGTCACATGATGATGATAGTTGGCGGAATGTTCGGCTCCGAAATCTCTCACCTCCGCGCCGTTGCCTCATAGGTTCACTCACAGCACCAACAGTATGACTCCTTTCAGCTACTCCGTAGAATCCTCCGAAAGAGGCCTACTATCGGCACGGGAATAGGTGGACTAAGAATAAACCACGGGAACGAAGCATCGGCATCGGCGAGAGCCAGGGCAATCATGGCATGGTTATCACCATCTGGATCTCATGCGATCAAATCTGGGCTGTCCTGTCAATCTGGGCCAGAACCTAGAACGTGACTAGAAACGACATGGGCATGTGCATTTTGGGGTAAGCATGAGAGCCTCGTGAGTGGTTGAATGACCATCATATCATGGCAAACCCTGGTGTTATTTGCAACCCAGGCTCACGAATGCAACCACTTGCTCTTCGCCGTTCCCCGGAAACAGCGCAGGTCATTGCTTCATTTGGGATCCAGAAATTCTAAGATCCTTTCTTGGGATCCTTCAGAATCAGTCGATAACGACGAAGTGTTGACGGGAGAAACAGGGTGTTGGTAAGGGTGTACCCATTGACCAATCGCCAGCGTCACCGGTCCCCGCCGACCAAATCAGAATCGCACCACAACCACCCTCGACGCCCTAGAAATCGTGCCATGCACCTCTGGGCTGTTGTGCTGACTGATGGTTTACGGTGAACAATGATTGGCCAGCTGTCAAAACACATTCTAATACCCCAGGATCCAGGTCTCTACAGTGGCATGATGGTCGCCAAACCAGATGAAATCTGACCACAATGGATGTATCCGGCTGCACGGGCTCTGGGAGGTCGCCGTTTGAAGGAATCCTTGACCAAATTTGTGATCTTTAGTGAAAAATGATCGGCATCGCAATTCTGTATAAGAGGATGCCATCTACCGTTCCCAAAGATAGTCTCTTCTCTCATCATCATCAGCATCTAAAGCATCAACAGAGCAATCACAACTCTCCACTCAACAAACATCTTCACCACTCAATTCAATTCTTTGGGTATATTACTACTGGGTTCCCTCTAAGGACAACTTGAAATCGATTCACCTCAAAACTCAACTCAACTCAACTCAATCAAACCACTTACACCAACTTAACTCCCCTAAACTCAATCACCATGTCTCCCATCGTTGTTCGATCTGCCGCCCGCGCTGTTCAGCGCCGCCAATTCTCTCTCCTCACTGCCATGCGAAACGCTGGTCGAGCCATGGAGTCTCACCCATTCGAGCGTCTTCCCATCACTCAGCAGCCTGCTAAGCCCGACTACGCCAAGATGTTCAAGCGAGTTGGAAGCCAAGCTCTCTTGTAAGTTGCTCCGACATCCAAAGCTTTACCAATATCAACTAACGCCGTCTCAGCTTCTTCCCTGGCTTCGCTGTCATCCTCGGCTGGCCCCTCGCTGCCCAGTATGCCTTCGACGGTAGACTGTAAAGGATAGATATACAGAATATTCCAAGCTCTTGGATAAACATCGACCGAGCAAGACTCGACGGTACCACTACTCGGTATTGGGACCAATTAGATTGTGACAATGCACAGTCACTTGTACATAGCATGGAAAGGCGTTGCGGTGCATTACAGGAAGGGTGCTTAAAGCAACCCATCTACGACTACATATGATAAATCTCTAGAACTATATAATTCCATATGTTATAACTTCAAGGCTTCTTTGTTTGTGATTACTGCCAATTGTCTCTAATATTCGCAGGTCAGGTTATCTCAAGCATCCCGCTTGATATTCAGATTACATCACTTACACGAATCGTCTCATGCATGATACATCAACGTTATGGGGTACTTTAGCGACCGCTATCCTTGAGAACTCTATCTTGCAATGAAACGACTCCCTGGCAATATCTCATGAACCCCCCAAATACGCCGAGTTACACTCCGAATCTCCCTCAGCAGATTTACAACATGACCGCTTTGACACATATTCTTTGAGTCTGTCAGCCTAAAATAAAAAAAGACTGAGGTAGACTTAGGCAGATTTATTATAGACTTGTAGGTAAACTGAGGTAAACTGAGGTAAACTTATATAAATTTAGGAAACTTGAGTAAACTTAGATCAATTTAGGAAACTTAAGTAAATTTATTATAGGCTTAGGTAAACTTAGGTAGCTTCAGTAAATTTAGGTGAACTGAGATGAATTGAGGTAAACTTAGGTAAATTTATAAGGTGAACTTAGGTAAACTCATTTGGTTAACTTAGGAAAGCTTAGGGAAATCTAGTATCGACTTAGGACGCCTTTAGACCAGTATACTCTAAATTAGCTCTCCGTCGCCATCTTCGACAAGATCGTCGTCCTCATCCCAGTCGACCCGGGCAGCCATTTCCTCTGCCCTTCGCTGGACCTCGGCCAGGCCTGATAACTCTGCCACATAATCCTTCTCTTGCAACGCTTTCTTCACAAAGCCCCATCCGTCACTGCGGTAGGCATCAAGAATCTTGGGGCTGCATGCGCTGCAACAGTCGTAAGATTGGCCGCGGATGACAATGTTCTGAAATGTCGAGACATAGCCCCTTATTTGATGCGGAATCAAACCCAGAGGATGCTCAGGAGGGTCTCGCTCTGGAACCACTCCGGGAGTTGGCTGTGGTGCTGGTGCATCCTTGCCTAGGGGATGTTGTAATAAGCTTGACAGAATTTCAACAAGAAGGGCAGACGCGATCGCTGCAACACCGGGTCGAGTGACAGTACATTGCTGATCCAGGGTCTGGTCCTTTTGAGACTAAAAGAATGTTAGACACGGTCTAGGAAGTAAAAATGGAAGCTTACATCAGCTGGGGCCACGACGTCGTTGCAGAAATAGCAACCAAGCGGTGTCTGCCCTTCGGCATGGCCTTCAGAGCCATGTCGCATAACAACATACGAATCGAAACCCAGGGCAGCGTTCATGACAATCTTTCCTTTGGCCTTTCCCATGACCGTTGGCAGCCATCGAGACTCTCGTGAATCCATGAGGAGGAAAATGGCATCGTGCTCGTCGATAAGCTTCTCCAACTTTTCGTATTCGCCCCTTGTCTTCGACTCTTCTATGTAAGGGTGGCCGAGCATAGGTACAAACAGTGTGTGTCCTTCACTGTCTATGCCTGGGAAGATTTCTTTCAATGCTTCCGCAGCTCGAGGCGCTTTTTCTCTTCCTCCTTCGAGGCAGTCTTGATGGTTGAACAGTGGCTGTCGGACAGGGTTAGAAAATGATACTCGTCCGTAATCCACAAACGTTATCTTCCGGACGCCCCAGCCCATAAGGTTTCTTGAGACATAACTTCCCAGCGTACCAGCGCCAAGTAGCAGGCACTTCGTGTGCTTAATGGCATCTAAGTCGAGCTCAGGGGCGATCCTCCATTTCATGAGCTTCAGGTTCAGGTCGACAGAGCCTTCAGCCTGTCGTGCGGGATCCATAGACTCTCCTAGGTTTACTTGCTGTGCCTGTAGTTTTCCATTGTTCGACCGTGCCCAGCCAGTAACCTTGGGCATTTCACTGATCTCTAAGTTCTCGACTGAATCCATCTCGATTGGAAGGATAACGCTGCGAGCTTCGTGTCTCTTTGCCTGGATGTCTCTGTAGCAGATCACTTTGGTCTTTGTCAAATGAAACCTTTGTCGGATAAGGACCAGGAAATTTCTCAGGGGCCATCCAGGGTCTTCTGGGTACGTCGAAGGATCAACAAACGCGACATATCGGTCCTCCTCAGCCACTTGGTCGAAGAAGCCATTCTCGAACTCTCGCAGTGAGGCAACTTCCCATCGAAAAGGAAGTCCCTGCGAAGAGTCCGGATCATCTGTATCCTGATGTTCGCCGTATACCTTCTTGACCAAAAAGAAGCCATGCTCGCGGGAGTCGACACTGTACCTCCAAGTTCCTACCCTGTCAACAAGCGCCGTGCTCTCCCTGGAGTTGAGACGTTCGGCTGGACCAGATCGCTTCCACGGAGGATCAGAGTGCAGAGCAGGGAAAGCGAACCAGTACGTAAACTTGTACTTTTTCAGGTCCGCGTAAGAAAGTACGATGAACGACGAGAGCAGGGATGGAACAGAGTAGATACTACCATCTTTGATCGCATCCCAAATCTAGAGTTGTCAGAGGTGCTCTAGTCTCCGTGGGCTCATAAATACCTGTCGGCCAGCAGTCCTGAGCATGGCAGGTTTGTCTGTATTCCTGAAATCCTCGAGTGTATTGACGTTCCTAATGATTCCCTCGGCCCTCATTGTCCCAAGAGGCGGACTGGGCGCATTAGTGCTGCCATAGTCAGAGAAGGACTGTGCATAAATCAAACAGCGGACCTACCTGCTGCTCGTAAGGGCATTCCCTAATATCTGCATGCGACAGCTGGATTCTGGTACTTCCAACCGGGGCTCGTAGAGACCAAGGAGGCTGCGCGCCGAGTCGTCGAGCTTGTCATGCTCAAGCTTCGAGGCAAAGAGCGCCGAGTAGAACGATAGCTCGATCTCTGACAGGAAGGGGGCGAATTGCAAAGGGGCCGTCATCGTGATGGTTAAAGCTTGTGTGACGCTGGTGAGGGAGGCCTTTGAGTGGGTTGAAAGAGGAAGGTTCGTCCCAGCTGCGATGCCTTAGGTAAGGTAGGTAGGTATTTATACTTCTTGGACAAGGCAGCAACTGCGCCCCTGAGGCAGATAACCCTTATGATCAGGTAGGTACCTTGTTGATGCCGACCTCCACTGTCATAGGGTTATCACTGTTTATGCTACTGTTATTTATATAGTAGCTAGAAGCTCTTGTGAGATTGGGTACAGATTCGATATTTCCTGTTGCTTTCTTCGTCGCTACTGCAGGTGGTCGAGTAAGATAGACTTCTTCTTTCTTTTGAACGTACAAGTGTTCCTTCGAGGGTTCGTGATCTGTTATAGCTGAATATATAAGGTCATCGTTGTGTTATGGAAGGCTCACCTGAATGGATAAGATGACCGTCACTGGTGACCTTGAGTGGAGCTCCAACTTAGGTCATACCTAGGCAGTGTCAGCGAACAAGAAAACTTAGGGCCTCTACTCTAAGTGATAAAAATACTTAGGCAACTTTAGTGGAGACTTAGGATGCCTTTAGATCAGTTTTTTTATTACTTAGGATAAATGTCCCAGGTTTTTCTTGTCTCCCCCAAGCCCCACCGCGGGGTACTGGGCGCTGTCACGGAGCCTCCTATCGGACCAGGTCTTATCGGACACCTACCCAGCCTGACAGATCACAGGGTACATGTCGTTATATGGTAAGCGGAAGTGATGAGGTGTCGTTCCCTGCAATGCGGCCATCGTGCGTGTAAGTCCGGAAGCGCATATAAGATCAAAAGGAACACGGCAGTATTAATAGTATTCTACTGAGGTTTTCTTAATACATCGTCATAATAGAGTCATGTTCATGTCTATATAAAGCGCTGTCATATCCATACCCTCCAGATCGACGCTATGGATGTCATCCCGTTGAAGATTTTCCAGCTACAGCGACACGAAGTTGCTGGCCAAAAGCAACAAGATATCACGGTCAGTAACCCAGCTTCAAATTTCACCGAGAAAAGGATATCGATATTGCAAACCCCATTATTCCCATCTATTATCAACAAAGGCCCTTCAGACTCATTTACCATCACCTCAGCTACAGGAGAAACACGTTCTTCACATCCGCAGTCTCGGTAACTATATCGGAGGTTATCAAGCATACACCCGTTCAGATTTATCTCCACCATTCACTTAAAGAATGTGACCCTCTTCGTGAGGACGCCATCTCATTAATGAGAGATTTGTGTCTGAAACATTCACGGGTTCAAGCTTTCTCGGTATTGTTGGAATGTGCGCTTTGATCATAACTCACAGCATCTATATATATGAGATGTCTAACTAGATCGAGATGTTGGTGATAACTCGTAAGATGGAGAAACATACTTGTCAACTTGTCGGCCGCTTTCAAAGTTGAGTTTGCGACACTTCTCAAAGGGTTCCGTAAACATTCTAGAACAACAACGGCGAACAGTGCACCCCCACACTCTGCGACGCGCTTAGAATAGTCGCCGTACGCGTTAAATGGCCATACGGAAAATCTCACCGTGAGGCATGATACATCATCCAAAGCCTGTTCCTGACTTTACCTCGACAAATTCCAGAACAAAAAACAGCATCGACCTACAGCATGCTCATCGGCGTCTGCGGCAGTAAGAACATATCGCAAACTTCCCAAGTCAAGCCACAAACTCACATAGATCAGGTATCTGCTCCGGCAAAAAGACGGTGGCCCAATATCTCGTTGAACATCATGGATTCAAACTCCTCCATCTACAGCCACAATCCCAGCCAAGACCGTCCAATACCTCGCTTGGGGCCGATTCCGCTTCACCCGAGGAACACGATGCAGAGTCTCCATCACAGTCTACTGACTCGACAGCTTTCAAAGGCGCTCTGACCTCAACAGCGCTCACCAC